AGTAAAACAGTTTCACTTCTTTTCAAATTTCTCAATAAAAGCTATGCGCTGACCCGATTCTGGGCTCACTCAGTCTTCTCTGGCTGAGTCCCTTGGTCTCGCTGTTACTCTTAATTTTGTCTCTTGCTCTTATTCAATCTATGTCGCCCCTTAAGAGAAACCTGTATGCCCTTGCCACGCTGGACATGACAGCACCTTGAGCTGAGCTGCTGCCCGGATGGCTCTGTGGATACAGCACATGCTCTTAACAACAAGGTTGCCGGGCTCGACTCCCACATGGGATGGTGGTTACGCCCACCTGTAACTAAGATTGAACACAGCACCTTGAGTTTAGAGGCTGGGCAGCCAGATGGCGACTGGCACCCTCCACAACTAAGATTGAAGAACAGCAACTTGGCTGGTCTCTCTCCCCAATTCCCCAATTAAAAAAAAATAATAATAAATAAAGACTTCATATATATATATATATGTATGTATATATATATATATATATATACACACACACACACACACACACACTTATGGATGAGCTTCATCAAATTGGGCAAAGGTCTTAAGAACAAAAACTGGTTTCCTGGAGAAGAATCCCTTCAAGACTGTAGAAACCCTGTTTGAGTTTCCAGCCTGCTGGTCTACCCTGCTGATTTCAGGCTCTATTGGTTCTGTTTCTAGGGAACCCTAACTGATACATGCTTTTTTGCAATATGACTTTTCTCCTCTATCAATCAAGAGGTGGGGTCTATTTCTTTACCCCCTGATTCTGGGTTTAGGTACATGATTTGGTTTTGCCAATGGGACATTAGAAAATGTGATGGAAGCAAAACTAGAAAAAGCATTTATGAATTGGGGCTTGCCCCCTCCTGCCACGGGGGACCCTTTTGCCACAAAATGAATAAGCATGATTCACCTGATGGACAATGAAAGGCACATGGCTGTTGTTCAAGCTGACATCAATGACATCAAGCTAACTGCCAGACATAACAATGTATCTCTCACTAGACCAACAAGACTGTCAACCACCAGATGTGAGTGAAGCCACCCTAGAATATCAAGCCCCAAATGAACTGGCCCATAACAAAAACTACTCAGCCAACTCTCAAACTCGTGATTAATAATAACTGTTTTGGCTTTTCATGAAGATGGTGCCAAAAGTGAAGAAGGAGGCACCTGCCCCTCCCAAAGCCAAAGCCAAAGCCAAACTCAAAGCCAAAGCAAAGGCTTTGAAGGCAAAGAAAGCAGAGCTGAAAGGCGTCCACAGACACACACACAAATCCGCAAGTCACCTACCTTCCAAGGGCCCAAAACACTGCAATTCTGAAGGCAGCCTAAATATCCTCAGAAGAGTGCCCCCAGGAGAAACAAGCTTGACCACTATGCCATCAAGTTCCCTCTAATTACCAAGTAGGCCATGAAGAACATAGAAGACAACAGTACACTTGTGTTCATTGTGGATGTCAAGGCCAACAAGCACCAGATCAAACAGGCTGTGAAGAAGTTCTATGACACTGATGTGGCCAGGGTCAACACCCTGAATCAGGCCTGATGGAGAGAAGAAGGTATATAATATATTCAGCTGGCTTCTGACTATGATGTTGCCAACAAAATTGGGATCATCTAAACTGAGTCCAGCTGGCTAATTCTAAGTATAAAAATTTTTCACTGGGCCGGCCGAGTGGCTTGTTGGTTAAGAGTTGGCTTGGGAGCGCGAGCTCTCAGCAGCAGTGCCGCTGGTTCGGATCCCACGTGGGCCAGTGACGCTGCACCCTCTACAGCTAAGATGGTGACCAACAACTCGACCTGGAGCTGGGCTGCTGTGAGTTGCCGGCGACGGCGTAGGCTGCAGTGAGACTGCAGTGGGCTGCCGTAAAGCTACTGTGAGTGGCTGGCAGCCAGCGTGAGCTGCCTTGAGTGGCCATCCAATGGCCAGTGACTGATCTGCCTCAGCCAGGAAGAGCGCAGTGATCACAATACCAACATGGGCCAGTGAAGCAATGTCCTCCACAACTAGACTGAAGAACAAAAGGACAGCAACTTGTCTTTTTCCCTTTCCTGATTCCCCAACACTGTTCCCTCCCCCCCAAGTCCCCGATAAAATCTTCTAAAAAATTTTTTTCACTCTAAAAAAATAAAATAACTGTTTTGTCTTAATCCACAAAATTTGGGGTTAGTTTGCATCTGGGTGGTGAACACACAATGTGATATATAGATGATGTAGTACAGAATTGTACACCTGAAACCTATGTAACTTTATTAACACTTGTCATCGCAACAAACTTTAATTTTTTTAAAAAATGGGTTAGTTTGTTACATAACAAAAGATAGCAGATATAATCATTATTATCAGGTACCTCAGAACATCCCTGCCAATATCCCACTTCTTATGCCTGGCTGCCAGCATTCTAAGAGCTGTGTAGAAGTCTGGCGGTTTCAGCATTTAGCATGTAAATTTTTACTTAGTCCCCTGAATAAATTGGGGCCAACTACACACTTTTAGAGGGCACAAAGTATCCACATAGAAGCCTGCCCTCATTTCTGACAAGTGCAAATTTGAGAGGTTCCCAAAACTACCCTCAGTTTCAATAATTTGCCAGAGGACTCACAGAACTCACTGACAGTTGTTATGATTATGGTTTATTATGGGGAAAGGATACAGATTAAAATCAGCCAAGGGAGGAGACACATGGGCAGGAGTCCCAGAGGCATCCAAATGTAGAGGTTCCAGTCATTCTCTACCCATGGAGTAATGTACAACGTTAACTCCCATCATCAATGTGTGACAAGCACAGAGGCCTGCCAACCAAGGAAGTCCTCCTGAGTCTGCGGCATCCAAAGTTTTATTGGGATTTGACCACATAATTCCCGCATAGCCAACCTTTAGTCTTCAGCCCCGCCTGGAGGTTGGGCTGACACATTTAGTCTCTAGCTCCTGGGAGATCTGAATTGGTACCATGTGGCCAAGAGCCCCTATCACAAACCTCACTGATAGACTGTCGGGTGCACAGGCAAACAAGCTCCCAAGCAAACAAAGTCCCTCCTATTAGGCAGGATATTCCAGGGGCCCAGAAATCACCTCCCAGGAGCTAAGGGCAAGGGCCAGGCATGTCTTAGGGTAAGATGAATTCTTCAATAAACAGGCCATCCTCTGGCCTTTGACTAAGACAGAGGACCTTTTGGTCCTGCTCACGCCTCCTTAGAAGGAGAAGTCTATTCTGTGTGATTTTGGATGCTTGCAGATGTCTAAGATAAGAGCATTCTTGTATTGCAATAGTCTTTTTGGTTCAAGTTGCTCCATATCTATGAATGGATATGTGTTTATTTCACAGTAGGGACCCAGAGACGAAGATATTAGATAATTTCCCTATATGAGCACCATGTAGACATGGTGACATATAATGCCAGTCTGGCTTCCTGTCTGCCAGGCGGCAGGTGATGGCATTGGGGCTGCAATTACCGACAGCGGTGGGAGAAGCAGGAGCGGGCATGGTGCATGAGTGTGGGCGGGCATCCGAACAAGGACGTGGTCTCTGTTGGAACCGCCATATTGCCCACCCCAACCTCCCCACCCCCTTTCCTGCTGCAAATTCACAATGGAGTCTGCACCCTCACCAAGGCCAGCTCCATTCACTGCCCCAGCTGTGCTCCCAGGCTCCTGCGGGCCCTTACCCCTCACCGTCCCCTGCTGTGCTCAGTGGCCAGGGGCCAGGATGGATGTCAGTGGCATAAAACTGCGCTGCTTGGAGGGCTGGGTGGGGTGTGTGCCAGAAGACACTGATTCCTAAGGCAGCCACAGGGGGAGATCCTCAGTCCTGCCAGGACCCATCCATCAGCTGGGATGCTGCAACATCAGCCCTGCCTGGGGGTGACAGCCTCCCCAACATCCATGGCTTCCCCAGAAGGAGATGTGCTGTGGCCACCTTTCTCCCTCAGTGCCCCTCCCCGCTTTTCAGTCCTGTTGCTGTAATATGGCTGCTGCTCTGCGGATTTCCAAGCCCCTCAGCAGCAGCTGCTGGAGGAATAGAGACGCACAGCTATCTGGTCTGTCTAGCACTCCTTAGCTGTCTGACCACAATGGCCACTCTTCCAAGGACACGAGAGGAAGAAGAGGGCCATCCTTCCTGATATTCAGGATGCTAGGCCATCGTGTGATTTCTTTTTTTTTTTTTTTTTTTAATTTCCAGTTTTGGGAGGTCATCAGTGATGAGCATGGGATCGACCCCACTGGCAGTTACCATGGAGACAGTGATTTGCAGCTGGAGAGAATCAATGTGTACTACAATGAAGCTGCTGGTGATTATTTGCATGTGGTTTGCTTTCCAATCAGCCTTGCTTTCCATACTGTGGCAGATGCAATGTACTAGAAACATGCAAATGATAAAGAAATGCTTCTTGCATTCATTTTAAATGTCAACTGCTAAAAAATACACTTTATGGTTCCTCAGGACTCCTGCATGTTCGCCATGACTAAGCATGTTCATTATCTCCTTTTTAAAGCAGAAAAGCTCCCCAATTCTCATACTTGAGT